AAGATTTTAAATATATATACAAGCATATATATATATAGTTACATTTATACAGGGTGTCCCAAAAATGTATACACATTGTAACAGCTGATAGTTCAATTTTGAAAATGAAGTGTGTTTTAATAAATACTGCCTTTATAATCATTCAAAGTGTGTGTATACATTATTTGGGACACCCTATATAATTGTAATTAAAATGGAATGGTAGGTTCACAAATAAAATGGTAGGTTCACAAATGAGACCCTGGTTTCTACATTTTTTAAAGGGTTGCTTAAAAAAGCACCAAAGAATGTGTGTTAGGAACCACAAGGCACACAAGACCTAAAATATTTACTAGCTGGCCCTTTATAGAAAATATCTGCTGATTCCTGAACCATGTGGAAAGCACCAATAATAGAGCTCACTCATTTTTTACTTTCACCAAGAAGTAGTACATTGCCTTCTTTCCTTGGAGGTATTAATTTCCACTTGTAAAATCAGTCTTCACAGCCTTTCTAAAAAGAGAATGAGAAGCCTGGGGTAACTGAATCTGTAACAGCCTTCTCTGCCCGCAGCCAGCTCTGCTGTAGCTGCTCTTGAATCAGAGCTGCCGCCCCAGGCCCCTGCTCGCTGTTGCTCTCACTCCCCCAGGCCGCTCCCCAGCGTCGTGGCCAGCCACTGACGCTCCGCACACCTTCTCTGACCTTGGCTTTTAGCCAAAAGATGATTCCATTCTAATTGCTCTTGTGAATCTGCTTTGCTACATTGCCCTAATTTTCACTTGCTTTCACACTTTAGGGATCCTCTTCTGTAACCCTTTCTCACTTTCTTGCCCAGAATCTCAGCTCTGTTGAGGCAGGTCTCTTCCAGATCTAATACTCCTGTCCTTACCCTTCAATTGTTCTTGTCCAGGCCTGGTTTTCTTGCTGGTTTCAAAGCAGGTCCAGTCCTGTCCCCCGCAACAGGTTATAGCAAAGAGAGGATTTCTAGTGGCTTCCTCACCAGACCAACTGAAGCATTTTTGTAAGTGGTAGAGATACTTTCAGGACACTGCTTGCATACATCCTTTATTTTATTTAATTAAAAAAATTTTTTCCATTACAATTTACATTCCTTATTATTTTGTATTAGTTTCAGGTTTATAGCATAGTGGGTAGACAATCTTGTACTTTACAAAGTGCCCCCCTGATATTTCCAGTACCCACCTGGCACCATTCATAGTTATTACAATATTATTGACTATTCTCCCTATGCTGTACTTCACATCCCTGTGACTATTCTGTAACTACCAATCTGCACTTCTCAATCCCTTCACCTTTTTCACCCAGTCCCCCAACCCCCTCCTCTCTGGGAACCATTGATCTGTTCTCTGTATCTATGACTCTGGTTTTGTTTTGTTTGTTCATTTATATTGTTTAGATTCCACGTATAAATGAAATCATATGGTACTTGTCTTTCTGTGACTGACTTATTTCACTTAGTATAATACCCTCTAGTTCCATTCATGCTGTTGCAATGGTAAGATTTCATTCTTTTTTATGGCTGAGTAATATTCCATCGCATGTATGTACCACTTGTCTGTTGGTGGGCACTTGGGTTGCTCCCATAGCTTGGCTATTGTAAATAATGCTGCAGTGAACATAAGGATGCACACACTCTTTTGAATTAGTGTTTTGGGTGTCTTCAGATATAGACCCAGAAGTGGAATTGCTGGGTCATAAGGCACACACCCTTTATTGCATTCACTTAGTGTCCAGATCTCTTGGTGGAATGTCTTTCCCATGAACCTTCTGGCCTCTTGCCTTCACCTATGGTTGCAGCAGTTTTCCATCTCCAGCCCTGTGACCAGGCCCCTTCAGTGGTCCCTGGTGCCCCGGGGATCCAGCACACACATCTAACCAGAGCTATTGCAGCACTCAAACTTCTGGTTCATTCCTTTCTTCATTCCCTTCCAGCTTGCTGAATCCCCCCCTTCTTATCTGTGTGCATCCCCCTACTCAATGCACATTTACCCAATGGTAAATCCATTCCAAACTATTTAACAAGAACAGCACAAAATCTAACAAACACACCACTTAAAGAATATTTAATTCTGTTTTTAACCTCCCAGTAAATATATGGTTTAAGGACCAAACTCCCGGAAAATTTTTCTGAGCAATTACTTCTTTTTCTGACTCACTAACTCATTTACTGACACATTATCTTGGCTTCAGGCATGCCTATAATCGTTAAAATTCTGTAAATAAATGCAGCCTTTTGATTACAGTGCAGGAGACAACAGCCTTCTTTGTAAACACACCCACATGGAAATCTAGCTTATAATGGTGGGTGGTCAGTTGGTCCAGGCTGACTCATAGCTTTAATTTTTGGAATAGGCTTTGAGAGGTTGTCAACTGCAACAGATGCCTTTCAAATAACTTTGTATCTGGACATCTCTTGCCTTTCATTTCCTTCTTCCCTCTCATTTCTTGTATACTTCCTTTCTCCCGAGCCCCTTTTCAATATCATATCATTATATCAAATATAACTTGGGAATACCTAGCCAGGACACACTTAGCGCCCCAAGAACACTGACCTACTAGCAGGAAGTACAGGGAGGCGGGCGGAGTGTTCATTTATTCATTCATGACATATTTTCTGACACCCTTCTTTGTGCCACAGACACCATGCTTGGTTCTAGGGAAACAATACCGAGTCAAAAGGAACACACTGCTCCCTTCATATGGGGGAGGTAGCATCGATTACAAGTTTACATTAATAACTGTGTAATAAATTAATATCCTGGCTCTGGTATAGAGAGGAAGAACTAATGGTAGTGTTTAGCTTCCTAACAGCTCTGTGATCTCTGATCGCTGTCTGTATTTCTCTCTCTCTCCCTCCCTGCCTCCTTCCCTCCCTCTCCCTCTCTCCCTCCCTCTTTGTTAAGTGGGGGTAAAGAAAGTGGCTAAGACACCGAGTCCTGTCATTGCTATAGTGCTTTATACCGACATTCTTTCTCTTAACTGTGGAATTCTTGCTCCCTCAAACTAGATGTTATTATCTCCATTTTAATACCAATAATGGAGTAAGAAAGCATTGCTATTGCTGAGACCGTCATTGGAAGGGTGAATAAACGAATGTTTGCATTATGGTAGCTTGGGGGCAGAAACATGCCACAGTCCCTAACTTGAAACCATCAGATTTAGTGGCTGCTAATCCACCTAAACCAGGGACTCTGGATTTTTTTTTTTTTTTCCTACAACAGGGAGAGAAAAATCTCCCCTCTTCTCTGCAGAACTCAGGACTGGATCTCGAAATTGGAAATGTGCCCTCCCCATGCATGCCCACGTCGTTAAAAAAACGAAGCATTTCCCAAGATGGGAACACGCTCAGTTTCTAATCTCCCTTCTTTCTCCCCCGCCAGAATTTCTAAATCCTTTACGAATACGCCCAGTCATACTTTCTGAACTTTTCAGCAAACCTCTCCCGCTTCTGTTTTCCGTAGAGCCCGGAGGCACAGGCCCGGGCGGAGGAG